ATATACTCAATTGTGGTAGGGGACCTGAATGCTAAAGTAGGAGAAACTTTTAGAGAGGGTGTGGTAGGTAAGTTTGGGGTGCCAGGTGTAAGTGATAATGGGAGCTCTTTGATTGAACTTTGTATAGAAAGGGGTTTAGTTATAGGTAATACATATTTTAAGAAAAAGAGGATAAATAAGTATACTACAAGATATAATGTAGGGTGAAATGACAATAGTTTGTTGGATTATGTATTGGTAGATAAAAGACTGTTGAGTAGACTTCAGGATGTACATGTTTATAGAGGGGCCACAGATATATCAGATCACTTTCTAGTTGTAGCTACAATGAGAGTAAAAGGTAGATGGGATACAAGGAGAATAGAAGCATCAGGGAAGAGAGAGGTGAAGGTTTATAAACTAAAAGAGGAGGCAGTTAGGGTAAGATATAAACAGCTATTGGAGGATAGATGGGCTAATGAGAGCATAGGAAATGGGGTCGAAGAGGTATGGGGTAGGTTTAAAAATGTAGTGTTAGAGTGTTCAGCAGAAGTTTGTGGTTACAGGAAAGTGGGTGCAGGGGGGAAGAGGAGCGATTGGTGGAATGATGATGTAAAGAGAGTAGTAAGGGAGAAAAAGTTAGCATATAAGAAGTTTTTACAAAGTAGAAGTGATGCAAGGAGGGAAGAGTATATGGAGAAAAAGAGAGAGGTTAAGAGAGTGGTGAAGCAATGTAAAAAGAGAGCAAATGAGAGAGTGGGTGAGATGTTATCAACAAATTTTGTTGAAAATAAAAAAAAAGTTTTGGAGTGAGATTAACAAGTTAAGGAAGCCTAGAGAACAAATGGATTTGTCAGTTAAAAATACGAGAGGAGAGTTATTAAATGGAGAGTTAGAGGTATTGGGAAGATGGAGGGAATATTTTGAGGAATTGTTAAATGTTGATGAAGATAGGGAAGCTGTGATTTCGTGTATAGGGCAAGGAGGAATAACATACTGTAGGAGTGAGGAAGAGCCAGTTGTGAGTGTGGGGGAAGTTCGTGAGGCAGTAGGTAAAATGAAAGGGGGTAAGGCAGCCGGGATTGATGGGATAAAGATAGAAATGTTAAAAGCAGGTGGGGATATAGTTTTGGAGTGGTTGGTGCAATTATTTAATAAATGTATGGAAGAGGGTAAGGTACCTAGGGATTGGCAGAGAGCATGCATAGTTCCTTTGTATAAAGGCAAAGGGGACAAAAGAGAGTGCAAAAATTATAGGGGGATAAGTCTGTTGAGTATACCTGGTAAAGTGTATGGTAGAGTTATTATTGAAAGAATTAAGAGTAAGACGGAGAATAGGATAGCAGATGAACAAGGAGGCTTTAGGAAAGGTAGGGGGTGTGTGGACCAGGTGTTTACAGTGAAACATATAAGTGAACAGTATTTAGATAAGGCTAAAGAGGTCTTTGTGGCATTTATGGATTTGAAAAAGGCATATGACAGGGTGGATAGGGGGGGGCAATGTGGCAGATGTTGCAGGTGTATGGTGTAGGAAGTAGGTTACTGAAAGCAGTGAAGAGTTTTTACGACGATAGTGAGGCTCAAGTTAGAGTATGTAGGAAAGAGGGAAATTATTTCCCAGTAAAAGTAGGCCTTAGACAAGGATGTGTGATGTCACCGTGGTTGTTTAATATATTTATGGATGGGGTTGTAAGAGAAGTAAATGCGAGGGTCTTGGCAAGAGGCGTGGAGTTAAAAGATAAAGAATCACACATAAAGTGGGAGTTGTCACAGTTGCTCTTTGTTGATGACACTGTGCTCTTGGGAGATTCTGAAGAGAAGTTGCAGAGATTGGTGGATGAATTTGGTAGGGTGTGCAAAAGAAGAAAATTAAAGGTGAATACAGGAAAGAGTAAGGTTATGAGGATAACAAAAAGATTAGGTGATGAAAGATTGGATATCAGATTGGAGGGAGAGAGTATGGAGGAGGTGAACGTATTCAGATATTTGGGAGTGGGCGTGTCAGCGGATGGGTCTATGAAAGATGAGGTGAATCATAGAATTGACGAGGGGAAAAGGGCGAGTGGTGCACTTAGGAGTCTGTGGAGACAAAGAACTTTGTCCTTGGAGGCAAAGAGGGGAATGTATGAGAGTATAGTTTTACCAACGCTCTTATATGGGTGTGAAGCATGGGTGATGAATGTTGCAGCGAGGAGAAGGCTGGAGGCAGTGGAGATGTCATGTCTGAGGGCAATGTGTAGTGTGAATATAATGCAGAGAATTCGTAGTTTGGAAGTTAGGAAGAGGTGCGGGATTACCAAAACTGTTGTCCAGAATGCTGAGGAAGGGTTGTTGAGGTGGTTCGGACATGTAGAGAGAATGGAGCGAAACAGAGTGACTTCAAGAGTGTATCAGTCTGTAGTGGAAGGAAGGCGGGGTAGGGGTCAGCCTAGGAAAGGCTGGAGGGAGGGGGTAAAGGAGGTTTTGTGTGCGAGGGGCTTGGACTTCCAGCAGGCATGTGTGAGCGTGTTTGATAGGAGTTTGATAGGAGAGACATATGGTTTTTAATACTTGACGTGCTGTTGGAGTGTGAGCAAGGTAACATTTATGAAGGGGTTCAGGGAAACCGGCAGGCCGGACTTGAGTCCTGGAGATGGGAAGTACAGTGCCTGCACTCTGAAGGAGGGGTGTAAATGTTGCAGTTTAAAAACTGTAGTGTAAAGCACCCTTCTGGCAAGACAGTGATGGAGTGAATGATGGTGAAAGTTTTTCTTTTTTGGGCCACCCTGCCTTGGTGGGAATCGGCCAGTGTAATAATAAAAAAAAAATACTCATAAATTCTAGCGGCTTCAAATCAAGCAGGAGAAAGCTGGTAGGCCCACATGTGAGAGAATGGGTCTGTGTGGTCAGTGTGCACCATATAAAAAAAAATCCTGGAGCACGCAATGCATAATGAGAAAAAAAAAAAAACTCCGACCGTTTTTTTTAATTAAAATGCCGACTTTGTGGTCTATTTTCATATAGTATTTATGGCCGTTTTCTCGTTTTCTTGGTCTCAATTGATTGAATGGAAAACATATTATAGAAATAGAGGTGATTTTGATTGATTTTACTATAAAAAGAACCTGGAAATGGAGCTCAAAGTAGGGGAAATGTTTGATTTTTGCCAATGTTTAAAAGTAAACAAATGATGTCATTGTCCAATAAATGTCCAACTAGCCATTCTAATATGCAGTCATGAATGGGTTGATGTTATTTATACAATTATTACAGTATTGCAGTAGTCTGCATAATAGTAAGTCTTCTATTTTTTGTTTGAATAAAAATTCAAAATAGAAAGCAAGAGTAATATCAGAGGGGCCTGGAGACGTGACTGATGAACAAAGAAAATGTTATTTTAGAGCCAGGAATGTCTGCATTGTTCATTATGGACCTTATTTTGAAATTGTCATATTTTTTAATTTTCGTGAAATTGGCCAAATTGCAAATTTCTGACCACATTATTGGGTAGTTGAAATCGGTAAATGGGTAGTTTCCTGTACTCAATCGAGGTCACTAACTTCGCGAGAGCATAATTCCATCAGTTTTCCATCAAATTTCGCTTTTTTGGTGTCATTACAATCGGGAAAAGATTCTCTATCATTTCATAAGAAAAAAAAGTTTTTTTTTTTTTTTTAAATTTTGCGACACCAGGAGACACCTCAGGAATGGGGGTTGCGACAGTCAAGGAGTTAATGGTGACATACTGATACCTGTTAGTAAGGTAGGATCTGGAAAATGCAAGTGCATGGCCTCTTATACCATAAAGGTCAAGTTTGTGGAGTATAATGCCGTGGTCTACTGTGTCAAAAGCTTTTCTTAGGTCAACAAAAATTTGTTCGAATACCAAATTGTTAGAGTAGGGAGCTGTTCAAGTATCAAGGTTCCACTGTATTTTCCACGCAATTTGTAGAAACATACCCTAATTATGGTATAAACCTTGGTAATAAATACCGACAAGTTGGTTTAGAAAGACATGTAAGCAAACACTATGACATATTTATTAGAAAACGTTTCGGTCCTAATTATACAAGGTTTTACTTGATTTCCCAATTTGCTTAAAAAATTTCTATCTTCAAACCTATTTACACAGTGAATTATAATTTTTTAACTCCTTAGATGAATAATTTATAGAAATTAAGAACAACATTGGAGCAAGCACTGACCCTTATGGTACCCTGCAGGTAACCCTGTCCCATAAGACTAGTTTCCCTCTTATTAATACAGTACAGTGGAACTTCGGTTTTCGTCATTATAATTTGTTCCAGTCTGACAAAAACTGAATTTGACGAAAAGTGAAGCAATATTTCCTATAAGAAATAATGTAAATCCAATTAATCCATTCCAGACACCCAAAAGTATTAACAAAAAATACATTTTATAGAGAATAACTATAGTTTTACATACAGAAAACAATGAGAAATAAATATAAAAGACTAACGAAATGGATACATGAACATTTAACATCACTTTTACCTTTATTGAAGACTCGTTGGCTCATGGAAGACGGCGAGGAGGGGAGAGGTTATCTTTGCCACCATCACTACCACCCTCTACCACCAATACTACCACCCTCTCCAGGTAAACCCTCTACCACCATCACTATCACCCTCTACCGATGAGAAACAAAGCCAGACTGACTCAGAACGTGTGGGATGCTTTGTGTGGGCGCAGGCGGACACGTTCAGTATGGCAGACCATTGTCAACTCAACGAAAACCGAGGTGATGAACAAAAACTGGGTCAAAATTTTGACAAAAAGTCGTCGAAAACCGAATTTGACAAAAACCAAGGCAAACGAAAACCAAAGTTCCACTGCATTCATTTTTGTTAAAAAAAATCATAGCTTTTCATTTACTTCAACAGCCCATTTATTGAAAGTCTGCCTGTCATTCTATGTTATGGTGGAAAACATTAATAAGGAATTACACCAACTGAGGCATTGTATAACAAATGTAAATAGTACTGTAGAAGAAGACTGATAACATGGCACTGCATACTCACCAGCCAATGAGCACACCAGAAGCCAATGGCAAAGACTGAAAAGAAGACGGCTAATACTACAGCTACCAGTGGAGGAGGATGTGTCAGAACTACATCCAGGACCCATTTCTGCCACCACTTGCCTAGTCCACGCATCTTACAAAATTGTCAAGCCCTTGCTGCCAACATTACTGTACTTTATCCTAGAAAAAAAAAATCAATATACATTAGAAATATTCTTAACCAATTTGTAAGTACAGTACTGTATAAGACATGACAGGGTAAGATCAAAATTTGTAGCTCAGTGCTGTACTATATTTACTGTTCCTTTCATTTTCATACCATATGCCATGAAGCTCACTGATTTGCCTCACATTATTCACATTTATACTATTTTCCCAATAGGTACTGTACACAAAGAGAATATTTATAAATATCAAAGAATTTTTTGAGCTACAAATTCTAGAGTCGCTCTCAAACTTGAGAATAAATAAATTACTGTAGTAAACAAAATCATACATTCTTATTTTTTAACATACTGGATGTCTCCCACAGAGGTAGGGTGACGTGAAAAAAAAAAGAAACACTTTCACCATCATTCACATCATCACTGTCTTGCCAGAGTTGCATCAGTATCTCCATCCCTCGTTCAGGGTGCAGGCATTGTACTTCCCACCTCCAGGACTCAAATCCGTCTACATAGTTTCCCCGAATCCCTTCATAAGTGTTACCTTTCATAGACCCATCCATTGACAAACCCAGTCCCAAAAATCTGAACATAGTATTTACTTCATCCATAGTCCCTCCTCCTAATCTGATATCCAATCTTTCATAACCTAATTTATTTGTTATCTTAACTGCCTTGCTCTTTCCTATGTTCACTTTTAATTCCCTTCTTTTGCATGCCCTCCCAAATTTATCCACCAACCTTTGCAACTATATTTTCATAATATCATAAATCAATGTACAGTTCAGTATTAATTTACTGATGGATACAGACCATATCCATATGCTTCCAGTGTCCTGTTTTTGAGCCATTCTTACCTAGTGAGTGCCTGAACCCTTTTATTCTGATTTTCCATTTTGCCATTTTTTTCTAATTCTTGGGAACTAATTACATCTCCTTCCAGGAAAGGAGATTTACTACAACACAGACACCAAGAGCCCTTGATTCTCAAAAGCCCATATACAGTATGGTTATGGGTAGATTATTCTGTAGTATAGCTCTGTGGACTGCTTTTATTTTTAATTAGTGTCCAATGTACACAAAGACAACAAACATTAATTATGACAATCTCAATTAAAGTTAACAATCAGGAAGCTTTAAAATGAAATAAAATGCAGATGAGATGATTCAAGCATTATCAAACACCAATCATAATCATTTAAACCATAATGAATTTCAATACATACTGTACTATGTTTCAGGTCCAAATGAACATCAAAATTATTTTTCATATTTAAAAAATTAAACTAAATGAAACATCAATATTTAACCCAAAATAAGCATTAATAAAATATAAAAAATAACATCAATCAGAAGATTTAAATGAAAATAAACATATATCACTGCAATTTTAAAAAGTGTACACACAAAACTATGGTTTAATGAATCATGAGCAATGTTTATTTTGAGAACCTGATTGGTACATGAATACTGGAATTAAATTTAGGAATATGGACATATAAGCAACTTTTGAATATTTTATTTACGCTATTTTTGCTTGTTGGAAGCTCTATGAAGCCTCAAAGAGGCCTGATAGAGCTCCCAGCAAGTCAAACATAGCCAAGATAAAATATTCAATTTGATTTATTTATTATTATTACAATCAAAACTAATACAATAAGTGTCAGGGGCCCGAGACTGTTCAACTGCCTCCCAGCACACATAAGGGGGATTACCAACAGACCCCTGGCAGTCTTCAAGCTGGCACTGGACAAGCACCTAAAGTCAGTTCCGGATCAGCCGGGCTGTGGCTCGTACGTTGGTTTGCGTGCAGCCAGCAGCAACAGCCTGGTTGATCAGGCTCTGATCCACCAGGAGGCCTGGTCACAGACCAGGCCGCGGGGGCGTTGACCCCCAGAACTCTCTCCAGGTAAACTCCAGGTAAGCACTACACCTACAAGATAAAATATCCAAACTCCGCAAATGTGCAAATTTACCTAAATAACTTTACTCTGCAGTACTGACAATGGCAAGTTTATTTTAGCATGATACATGTTTGTACAAAGGAATGTAACAATTTGGTGAACATGCCAAAAGCCCCTTTATAATGCAGAGCATTTTGGGCAAACTTAAGACTAACTTACGATTAATAAGGCAATAACAGTGCAGTAATTTTACATATGGTCATTAGGCAAGTTACAATGAATACAAGAAAATTAAATATTCAACTAGTTCATTCTATATGGCTTTAGTAAGTTCAATAGAGAATAATTACAGTTTTGATATAGTTTATAAAAAAATACAGTACGTACAGTATTACAACTTAGCACAATTTAAAACAATGAAATTGAAATATTCATACGTTTGAAGTAATGAGTACATGGATAAGCAATCATCAAGCACAATTTACAATAATGAAATTGAAACAATTTTAAGCTTGGAGTAATGATTAAATAGTTGAGCAATCACCAAGCACAATACACAATAATGAAATTGAAACAATTTTAAGTTTGAAGTAAATGATCAAACAGTTGAGCAGTCTTAAATAATATAGGAGTTTTTTGAGTAATTTTTGAGTAACTGGTAGGTATTAAGTAAAGTGTTTGTCTGGTTAATTTTGGGTGATGAGATGATTTCTAAGTAGGGCCTTCAAATGATTTAGTGTGTTCAGGCAACGAATTCCAGATCTTCAGGCCCTTTATGTGCATAGCATTTTTGCATAAGGAGAGATGGACATGAGGGATATCGAAGAGTTATTTGTGCCTTGAGATTTTAGGAGATGTTAAGTGAATGTATAGGAGCCTTTGAACCAAGTGAGAGAGTAATTGTGGTAGGGGACCTGAATGCTAAAGTAGGAGAAACTTTTAGAGAGGGTGTGGTAGGTAAGTTTGGGGTGCCAGGTGTAAACGATAATGGGAGCCCTTTGATTGAACTTTGTATAGAAAGGGGTTTAGTTACAGGTAATACATATTTTAAGAAAAAGAGGATAAATAAGTATACAAGATATGATGTAGGGCGAAATGACAGTAGTTTGTTGGATTATGTATTGGTAGATAAAAGACTGTTGAGTAGACTTCAGGATGTACATGTTTATAGAGGGGCCACAGATATATCAGATCACTTTCTAGTTGTAGCTACACTGAGAGTAAAAGGTAGATGGGATACAAGGAGAATAGAAGCATCAGGGAAGAGAGAGGTGAAGGATTATAAACTAAAAGAGGAGGCAGTTAGGGTAAGATATAAACAGCTATTGGAGGATAGATGGGCTAATGAGAGCATAGGCAATGGGGTCGAAGAGGTATGGGGTAGGTTTAAAAATGTAGTGTTAGAGTGTTCAGCAGAAGTTTGTGGTTACAGGAAAGTGGGTGCGGGAGGGAAGAGGAGCGATTGGTGGAATGATGATGTGAAGAGAGTAATAAGGGAGAAAAAGTTAGCATATGAGAAGTTTTTTACAAAGTAGAAGTGATGCAAGGAGGGAAGAGTATATGGAGAAAAAGAGAGAGGTTAAGAGAGTGGTGAAGCAATGTAAAAAGAGAGCAAATGAGAGAGTGGGTGAGATGTTATCAACAAATTTTGTTGAAAATAAGAAAAAGTTTTTGGAGTGAGATTAACAAGTTAAGAAAGCCTAGAGAACAAATGGATTTGTCAGTTAAAAATAGGAGAGGAGAGTTATTAAATGGAGAGTTAGAGGTATTGGGAAGATGGAGGGAATATTTTGAGGAATTGTTAAATGTTGATGAAGATAGGGAAGCTGTGATTTCGTGTATAGGGCAAGGACGAACAACATCTTGTAGGAGTGAGGAAGAGCCAGTTGTGAGTGTGGGGGAAGTTCGTGAGGCAGTAGGTAAAATGAAAGGGGTAAGGCAGCCGGATTGATGGGATAAGATAGAAATGTTAAAAGCAGGTGGGGATATAGTTTTGGAGTGGTTGGTGCAATTATTTAATAAATGTATGGAAGAGGGTAAGGTACCTAGGGATCGGCAGAGAGCATGCATAGTTCCTTTGTATAAAGGCAAAGGGGATAAAAGAGAGTGCAAAAATTATAGGGGGATAAGTCTGTTGAGTATACCTGGCAAAGTGTATGGTAGAGTTATTATTGAAAGAATTAAGAGTAAGACGGAGAATAGGATAGCAGATGAACAAGGAGGCTTTAGGAAAGGTAGGGGGTGTGTGGACCAGGTGTTTACAGTGAAACATATAAGTGAACAGTATTTAGATAAGGCTAAAGAGGTCTTTGTGGCATTTATGGATTTGGAAAAGGCGTATGACAGGGTGGATAGGGGGGCAATGTGGCAGATGTTGCAGGTGTATGGTGTAGGAGGTAGGTTACTGAAAGCAGTGAAGAGTTTTTACGAGGATAGTGAGGCTCAAGTTAGAGTATGTAGGAAAGAGGGAAATTATTTCCCAGTAAAAGTAGGCCTTAGACAAGGATGTGTGATGTCACCGTGGTTGTTTAATATATTTATGGATGGGGTTGTAAGAGAAGTAAATGCGAGGGTCTTGGCAAGAGGCGTGGAGTTAAAAGATAAAGAATCACACATAAAGTGGGAGTTGTCACAGTTGCTCTTTGCTGATGACACTGTGCTCTTGGGAGATTCTGAAGAAAGTTGCAGAGATTGGTGGATGAATTTGGTAGGGTGTGCAAAAGAAGAAAATTGAAAGTGAATACAGGAAAGAGTAAGGTTATGAGGATAACAAAAAGATTAGGTGATGAAAGATTGGATATCAGATTGGAGGGAGAGAGTATGGAGGAGGTGAATGTATTCAGATATTTGGGAGTGGACGTGTCAGCGGATGGGTCTATGAAAGATGAGGTGAATCATAGAATTGATGAGGGGAAAAGGGTGAGTGGTGCACTTAGGAGTCTGTGGAGAAAAAGAACTTTGTCCTTGGAGGCAAATAGGGGAATGTATGAGAGTATAGTTTTACCAACGCTCTTATATGGGTGTGAAGCATGGGTGATGAATGTTGCAGCGAGGAGAAGGCTGGAGGCAGTGGAGATGTCATGTCTGAGAGCAATGTGTGGTGTGAATATAATGCAGAGAATTCGTAGTTTGGAAGTTAGGAGGAGGTGCGGGATTACCAAAACTGTTGTCCAGAGGGCTGAGGAAGGGTTGTTGAGGTGGTTCGGACATGTGGAGAGAATTTAGCGAAACAGAATAACTTCAAGAGTGTATCAGTCTGTAGTGGAAGGAAGGCGGGGGTAGGGGTCGGCCTAGGAAAGGTTGGAGGGAGGGGGTAAAGGAGGTTTTGTGTGCGAAGGGCTTGGACTTCCAGCAGGCATGCGTGAGCGTGTTTGATAGGAGTGAATGGAGACAAATGGTTTTTAATACTTGACGTGCTGTTGGAGTGTGAGCAAAGTAACATTTATGAAGGGGTTCAGGGAAACCGGCAGGCCGGACTTGAGTCCTGGAGATGGGAAGTACAGTGCCTGTACTCTGAAGGAGGGGTGTTATGTTGCAGTTTAAAAACTGTAGTGTAAAGCACCCTTCTGGCAAGACAGTGATGGAGTGAATGATGGTGAAAGTTTTTCTTTTTCGGGCCACCCTGCCTTGGTGGGAATCGGCCAGTGTGATAATAAAAAAAATAAAAAATTATGCCTGTGTGTTCTGTTGTAGGTATCAAGTAGTAGTTTGAAAGGAGGGGTTAATATTTGAGTATAATGTTGTGTGTGTGGGGTAAGCACAATAATAAGCGTGGATGTTTTGTATATTAAGCAAGTTAAGGCTCTTAAAAAGCCGTGGAGTGTGCTGTCTAGTGCAGGAGTTGGTAATCAATCACACTGTAGCTTTTTGTTGGGTTATTAAAGGTTTAAGGTGATTTGCTGTGGTTGAGCCCCATGCATAAATACCATAGGTGAGGTACAGGTAAATGAGAGAGTGGCAGAGAGCAAGAAGAGCCGTTTGGGGTACATAGTACCGTATCTTTGAAAGGATGCCTACTGTTTTGGAAACTTTCTTGGATATTTGCTGTATGTGGGTCTGGAATCTGAGACTGCAGTCAAGGTGGAGACTTAGAAATACACCCTCTGCACTAAACCAACAAAGTCCTCCAGCTGTAAACATGGGACATAAAATTTTGTTTGAATTATTAACCCAGAGGGGTAGCAACCCAGAATAACTCTAAGTCTGTCATTGGAAACTGTCAATCTTATTTTCCCTGAGGTCCTTTAACCCTTAAACTGTCTAAACGTAGATCTACGTTTACATGCATAGTACTCCAACCTTGATTTTTCCCATTTGAAAGCATGTAAAAAAAAAAAAGTAGATCTACGTTCGGAGCGCTACGCAAGCGAATGCAGATCTACATTTGGACAGTTGAGGGGTTAATCCATTCGCTCAGGGTGTACCCCACATCAGTCTACCAACGCCCAGGTACCTACTTACTGCAAAGTGAAGACGGCAGCAAGTGTAAGGGTTATCATTATTACATTTGTTGGGGAAGTGCTAAATCCATAAGAGTTATACAGCGCCTTGGGGAAATGAAAGGTATTCAGGCTCGATTTAAGGAATTGGAGCACAGATCTAATTCCTTAGATCAAGAGCCCCTCACCAGCATTAATCAACCAAAACCAAGCACTAAACCCACAGGGGTCATACAGTCACCAGTATCAAGAAACCTCCCTTGAGGGCAACAGGTGCCAGGAAACATACCCAACATCTTGCCCGTGCTGGGGAGCAATCCATAGTTCCTCAGTGTACGCTGCAGACACTACCAACTGAGCCATGACTGGGATTGGCACGTTTTGGTTTGCATTTGATTTGTCTTTGCTTACATCTGATTCATCTTTGTTTACATCTGATTCACCTTTGTTTACATGATTCGTCTTTGTTTACATTTGATTCATCTTTGTTTACATTTGATTCATCTTTGTTTACATTTGATTCATCTTTACATTTGATTCGTCTTAGTTTACATCTGATTTGTCTTTGTTTACATTTTATTCGTCTTTGTTTATCTTCAATTTGTCTTTGTTTACATTTTATTCGTCTTTGTTTATCTTCAATTTGTCTTTGTTTACATTTTATTCGTCTTTGCTTACATTTGATTCATCTTTGCTTACATTTTATTTGTGATTATTTACATTCACTGTTTACCAGTAATGTAAATAACATCCGTATTAATGTTGGTAAAATTACCGACAATATGTTAGATAAAAGGACACAAGTGCAGTTATGTAATGTGACATTTTATTGTCACAGTATTGTCACATTACATAACGTTTCGCTTTCCAGGAGAGCGAAACGTTGCCACAATAAAATGTCACATTAGTTGCACCTGTGTCCTTTTACTTAACATAAATAACATCTGTTGACTAATCCTGCCATCCAAAATAAAATTTATTAGTTTTGTTAATACGTATGTACTTCATAAATAACAATTTGCACAAGAAATAACACTTTGTACCAGGAACCACAATGGAAATAAATACTTTGACTTTTTTGAGCTGTTGTTTAGTTTAATATGTTTATTATGCACCCCATACCCATCCTGTGGGCGGTAGTCAAAAGATTACAGAGGTACATAATTGGTCCAGGGACTGGACTCCAAAGTTTTGATAGCTGAGCAAGTTACAGAGGTAATGAACTCACAATTTACAAAGGTAATAAACTCACAATTTACAAAGGTAATGAACTCACAATTTACAAAGGTAATGAACTCCAGGTAAGTCTGGTCACAATCATGACAAGTTACAAAGGTATTTACAGATTACAGAGGTACGTAATGGGTCCAGGGACTGGGCCCCCAAAGTTTTGATAGCTGAACTAGGTCTTAGAAAATTTACGTATATGTTACTATAGAAAGATAATTGTAATAATATAAATTTGTATAAGAATGCTTATGTGTACCTGTATCAATGGAAATAAGTCACTGTCTGATTTTTTGGGGATGTCATAGGTAAATTACACTAAAATTTGAATATACGAAAATTGTACTTACATGTACATGTATCTAAATAAACTTACTTATTTACCTAAATAAATTTACTAACAGTCTACTTGTCTTATTTTATTTTAAAATAATGCGTGATATCTCAAAAGAACCTAATAGCCATATTATCCAAAATAGCAATCAATCACCAACCTCTCAATCACTATTTGACAAGAAACCATATGGCTCACCACACATGATGATGTTGTTGTGTTGTGGTGGCAGTCCAGGACTGGATACAGTCGTGGTGGGTTGAAGGGCTGCATGAACCCTGAAGCTCAACTTTTTTTTCGGGTAAAATGCAAATTCCACTTTGTAGATAATATGGTTCAGAGACCTGATAAGTTGATAAATTAGACACATGTGCAATACTTGGGAATCTTTATTATGGAAATGTTTTGCCACACAGTGGCTTCGTCAGTCCTATACAAAGTAGAATGGTGAAGATCAGGAGTTTGATATAATCAGTCCCTCAGCCCGGAGTCCTGCGCTGTATGACCCTTGTAGGTTCAGCGCTTCTTTTGGATTATAATAATAATAACCAGCCTGAAGTCAATGTAATCAGCCCCTCAATCTTTTCAGTTACCCAGTTATTATTGTAACCAAAACTGACAGCTCAGTTTAGATTACTATCTCTATAACATTTACTTTTCATAGTAACATGTACTCTTCATAGTACATGTACTCTTCATAGTAACATTTACTCTTCATAGTAACATGTACTCTTCACAGTAACATTTACTCTTCATAGTAACATTTACTCTTCATAGTACATGTACTCTTCATAGTAACATTTACTCTTCATAGTAACATGTACTCTTCATAGTACATGTACTCTTCATAGTAACATTTACTCTTCATAGTAACACGTACTCTTCACAGTAACATTTACTTTTCATAGTAACATGTACTCTTCATAGTACATGTACTCTTCATAGTAACATTTACTCTTCATAGTAACATGTACTCTTCACAGTAACATTTACTCTTCACAGTAACATTTACTCTTCATAGTAACATGTACTCTTCACAGTAACATTTACTCTTCACAGTAACATTTACTCTTCATAGTAACATGTACTCTTCACAGTAACATTTACTCTTCACAGTAACATTTACTCTTCATAGTAACATTTACTCTTTATAGCAACATGTACTCTTCACAGTAACATTTACTCTTCATAGTAACATTTACTCTTTATAGCAACATGTACTCTTCACAGTAACATTTACTCTTCATAGTAACATGTACTCTTCATAGTAACATTTACTCTTCATAGTAACATTTACTCTTCATAGTAACATGTACTCTTCATAGTAACATGTACCCTTCATAGAAATATGTACTCTTCACAGTAACATGTACTCTTCAAAGTAACATGTACTCTTCATAGTGACATAATAGCATGGAAAAAGCTGGTATAAAATACAACTAGATTGTTAAGTATATTTAAGTCTAAGATACATAATATATAAAACTACAAAGTTCTTGAGGGTACACAGATATAATGGCCACATAAAATATGCATCGTGTATATTTAGCCTAGGATAACCCAATAAAGTCGAACAGTGACTAATTTCCATAATGAGTGGCTTTCCATTAAGCTTCGAAGACGTACTACTTATTATTTTTTGTAAACATTACAAGCTTCTTAAAAAATTAAATTTGCATTTGAATACATGGAATGTACTCTGTCACCTGCCATATTGTGAGCCCCCACTGCGCTTCTCATAACTGGAATAATATGATCTAAAGTGGGTGTATACTAATATCACAGAATACTTAGTGGTACGAGTGTCACACACTGCTACTCTAGGTACCTCGTGCAGGAACTTTCTGCTGTCCAGAGAGAAATGCCAGTGCACCCAGCCTACTTTTGAAATATAGGTTTCCTGTGTGTGGGGGGGGAGGGGCCGAACTACCTCTCTCTTCTGTAGAATATTTTAAAATGCTCGTATTATTAACCCAGTTTAGCAACCTATGATATCCAAATAATATCACTATGTCTGGTTTATTTGATCCACTTTTCAAGGACGCGACTCACACCAGGAACCTACTTACTGCTTGCTGGATGAAGAGGAGCAACAGGTTTAAAAAAAACAGTCAATGTTTCCAGTTGTACTCGGATCGAACCCAGGTCCTTCAGATGCGAGCCGAATATGCTATTACTTGAGCCACGAGAACCCGGTACACTGTTCACTGATGTTCAGTATTCGAGCACTGGGTAACTGTACTCTAGGACCCTTCATTGGAGGCTCCTTGATGCTAGTGAGGGGCTCTTGATCTAAGGAACTGGATATGTGCTCCAATTCCTGGAATCGAGTCTGATTGCCCTCCAAGACACCAGGCACTGCATGACCCCTATAGGTTTAGTTCTCTCAGTGAATTCAGTAGTAATAATAGTAATGTACTCTGGGAATCTTCATCGTTGACAGTACTTCCAGTACCTTAATATTAAGCCTATTAACCCAGGCCCTAGGTCTACTGCAGTTTCTCTATTTTTTATGTTTTTTTCCCTCGTTCATGATTAACTAACAGAAATTCTCCAGATGATAAAAGTTAGAGCAGGAACAAGCGCAGCTAGCACAAACATTCCGACTTTAATTAATAAGGCCACCAACCAGAAGACCTGGTCCGAGACCTGGCTGCTGGGGTTGTGATTCCCAGCAGCCAGGTCTCGCCCTAGACCATGAACACGCTGGTCTAGAGGATCGCTCGTAAGTGATACTGAGACATTGTTACAATCCAAACTAAGCGCTAAACCCACAAGGGTCATACAGCGCTGCTGATACTGACGCAATCATTTAAAAATGAGGCAACGCTCTCGCTTCACACACTGAGTATCCGTGGTTGGATCCCAGGCAAGGGTAAAACATTTGGCATGTTTACTGACACATACTGTCCGCATTCACCTAGCAAGTAGGTACCAGGGTGTTAGTGGACTGGTGTGGGTCGCATCCTGGGAGACAAGACTGACGGACTCCAATGTAAATAAAAGACAGTCTTCGATGACGCAGGGACTTTCTTGGGTTATCCTAAGTAGCTAACCCTTTGGGATTAAAAATCTGCACAAAATCTTAACTTATTTCTGTTACACAGTCTCATTAGAGATAGTGATGTTTTGGTCGTCAGAAATCAGAACAAGTGTCTCCTGACACGGGTCTGGCATCTAGAAGATACCCGTTCGGTGTATCCACTGACTTTCGGAAGCTGGGTTTTATACTCCATTCACAAAGCACCCAAAAGATAATCACACAGAAGTATCCTATAATGGCTGAGAAGAGATCCCTCACAGGCGAAAAGATGTCAGGGTCATCACTTTCTCTGGAGGTCAGTGGAACCCGTTGAATAGTCTGCATCAGAGGACCCACAGGATGAAGGCGGAAAGGCAACAGGTGAGGGAAGCTGAGAGGGACTTCACTCAGGGGAAGACACTGCCAGTCTTCCTCACACCCTGATAAAGATATTTTTTTTGTTGTTAGTTTCTTCCTTACACCCTGATAAACCATTTTTTTTTGTTAGTTTCTTATCTGTAAGCCTGCCGATTGAACACGTCATTAAGATTACCTATAACGTGCACATTAACAACCAAGCAAATAATATAGACTGACATTCTGCATATTTGACAATTCTCCTTAATAATGTGGAATGTAAATATGAACACACACACACACACACACACACACACAGTAGCAACCGGTGAAGAGGCGGGGCCAGGAGCTAAGACTCGACCCCTGCAACCACAAATAGGTGAGTACAAATAGGTGAGTACACACACACACACACACACACACACACACACACACACCGAGCATGTCTCCGGAAGCACACATCAATCAGATAACTGCTGCAGCATATGGGCGCCTGGCAAACCTGAGAACAGCATTCCGATACCTTAGTAAGGAATCATTCAAGACACTGTACACCGTGTATGTCAGGCCCATACTGGAGTATGCAGCACCTGTTTGGAACCCGCACTTGATAAAGCACGTCAAGAAACTAGAGAAAGTACAAAGGTTTGCGACAAGGTTAGTTCCAGAGCTAAGGGGAATGTCCTATGAAGAAAGATTAAGGGAAATCGGCCTGACGACACTGGAGGACAGGAGGGTCAGGGGAGACATGATAACGACATATAAAATACTGCGTGGAATAGACAAGGTGGACAAAGACAGGATGTTCCAGGGAGGGGACACAGAAACAAGAGGCCACAATTGGAAGTTGAAGACACAAATGAGTCAGAGAGATAGTAGGAAGTATTTCTTCAGTCATAGAGTTGTAAGGCAGTGGAATAGCCTAGAAAATGACGTAGTGGAGGCAGGAACCATACACAGTTTTAAGACGAGTTTTGATAAAGCTCATGGAGCGGGGAGAGAGAGGGCCTAGTAGCAACCGGTGAAGAGGCGGGGCCAGGAGCTAGGACTCGACCCCTGCAACCACAAATAGGTGAGTACAAATAGGTGAGTACACACACACACACACGCTGTATAGCCACATTAGGAGGAAGACAACAGTCAAGGACCAGGTGATAAGGCTGAGGAAAGAAGGTGGAGAACTCACAAGAAACGATCAAGAGGTATGTGAGGAGCTCAACACGAGATTTAAGGAAGTATTTACAGTAGAGACAGGAAGGACTCTGGGGGGACAGACCAGATGGGGACACCAACAAGGAATACACCAACAAGTGTTGGACGACATACATACAGATGAGGAGGAGGTGAAGAAACTGCTAAGGGACATCGATACCTCAAAGGCAATGGGACCGGACAACATCTCTCCATGGGTCCTTAGAGAGGGAGCAGATATGTTGTGCGTACCACTTACAACAATCTTCAACACATCCCTGGAAACTGGGCAACTACCTGAGGTATGGAAGACGGCAAATGTAGTTCCCATTTTCAAAAAAGGAGACAGAAAAGAGGCACTAAACTATAGACCTGTGTCATTGACGTGTATAGTATGCAAAATTATGGAGAAGATTATCAGGAGGAGAGTGGTGGAGCACCTGGAACGGAACAGGAGTATAAATGCCAACCAGCACGGATTCACGGAAGGCAAATCCTGTGTCACAAACCTTCTGGAGTTTTATGATAAAATAACAGAAGTAAGACAAGAGAGAGAGGGGGTGGGTTGATTGCATCTTCTTGGACTGCAAGAAGGCCTTTGACACAGTTCCTCACAAGAGATTAGTGCAGAAGCTAGAGCATCAGGCGCATATAACAGGAAGGGCACTGCAATGGATCAGAGAATACCTGACAGGGAGGCAACAACGA